TGTCACTGTGTGGTGTGTCACTGTGTGTGTGTGGTCACTGTGTGTGTGTGTCACTGTGTGTGTGTGTGTCACTGTGTGTGTCACTGTGTGTGTGTCACTGTGTGTGTGTGTCACTGTGTGTGTGTGTGTCACTGTGTGTATGTGTGTGTGTCACTGTGTGTGTCACTGTGTGTGTGTGTCCTGTGTGTGTCACTGTGTGTGTCTTACTGTCTGTGTGTGTGTCTCTGTGTGTGTGTGTGTGTCTGTGTGTGTGTGTGTCTGTGTGTGTCACTGTGTGTGTGTGTGTCTGTGTGTCACTGTGTGTGTGTCACTGTGTGTCACTGTGTGTGTGTGTCACTGTGTGTCACTGTGTGTGCATCACTGTGTGTCACTGTGTGTGTCACTGTGTGTGTCACTGTGTGCATCACTGTGTGTGTCACTGTGTGATATAAAGCTGACCCAGGTAACCCCCCCCCCTTACCCGCCACATGTTTCCCCAGAACTGCGTCACGGCGCTGGCTGCGTGTCGAGCGAGTCTCCGCAGCGCCGCACCGCGCCGCGACTCCTCGCGCAGCCTCCTGGCCGCCTCGCGCTGCACGTGGCGAGACACCGACACGCACAGCTGCGTGGGGGGAGACACGGGGAGATGCGGGGAGACACGCGGAGGTGAGAGAGACACGGGGAGACGAGAGAGACACGAGACACGGGGAGGTGAGGGAGACACGGGGGAGACACCGACACGCACAGCTGCGTGGAGAGAGACACGGGGAGGTGAGAGAGACACGGGGGAGACACCGACACGCACAGCTGCGTGGGGAGAGACACGGGGAGGTGAGAGAGACACGGGGAGATGCGGGGAGGTGAGAGAGACACGGGGGAGACACCGACACGCACAGCTGCGTGGGGAGAGACACGGGGAGGTGAGAGAGACACGGGGAGATGCGGGGAGGTGAGAGAGACACGGGGGAGACACCGACACGCACAGCTGCGTGGGGAGAGACACGGGGAGGTGAGAGAGACACGGGGAGATGCGGGGAGGTGAGAGAGACACGGGGGAGACACCGACACGCACAGCTGCGTGGGGAGAGACACGGGGAGGTGAGAGAGACACGGGGACGTGTGTTGTGGTTGTTGTTGTGGTTGTTGTTGTGGTTGTGGTTGTTGTTGTGGTTGTGGTTGTTGTTGTTGTGGTTGTTGTTGTTGTGGTTGTTGTTGTTGTTGTGGTTGTTGTTGTGTTTGTTGTTGTTGTGTTTGTTGTTGTGTTTGTTGTTGTGGTTGTTGTTGTGGTTGTTGTGGTTGTTGTTGTGGTTGTTGTTGTGGTTGTTGTTGTGGTTGTTGTTGTTGTTGTGGTTGTTGTGGTTGTTGTTGTGGTTGTTGTTGTGGTTGTTGTTGTGGTTGTGTTTGTTGTTGTGTTTGTGGCCGCACCGTCTTGGCCGCAGCGATCTTCCATCGTCGCTCCTGGGCAAAGTCCTCAGCCATCCACTCCATCTCCTACACACAGACACACAGACACACAGACACACACAGTGACACACACACAGTGACACACACAGTGACACACACACAGTGACACACACACACACAGTGACACACACACACAGTGACACACACACAGACACACAGATACACACACAGTGACACACACACAGTGACACACACAGTGACACACACACAGTGACACATACAGTGACACACACACACACAGACACACAGTGACACACACAGTGACACACACAGTGACACACACACAGTGACACACATACAGTGACACACACACACACACAGACACACAGTGACACACACAGTGACACACACAGACACACGTACACACAGTGACACACACACACACAGTGACACACACACAGTGACACACACGACACACACACAGTGGCACACACACACACAGACACATACACACACACGTACACACACACACAGTGACACACACACACAATGACACACACACAGTGACACACACACAGTGACACACACACACAGACACACACACAGTGACACATACACACAGTGACACACACACAGTGACACACACGTACACACACACACAGTGACACACACGTACACACACACACACGTACACACAGTGACACACACACACACTCACCTGCAGCAGGCAGTCCCAGTGTGCGCGTGGACGTGGAGGGTCGGCCACACGCACACACACAGTGACACGTACACACACACACAGTCACACGTACACACACACACACAGTGACACACACACACACACTCACCTGCAGCAGGCAGTCCCAGTGTGCGCGTGGACGTGGAGGCTCTGCCACACGCACACACACAGTGACACGTACACACACACACACGTACACACACACACACACAGACACACACACACACACTCACCTGCAGCAGGCAGTCCCAGTGTGCGCGTGGACGTGGAGGCTCGGCCACACGCACACACACAGTGACACGTACACACACACACGTACACACACACACGTACACACAGTGACACACACACACACTCACCTGCAGCAGGCAGTCCCAGTGTGCGCGTGGACGTGGAGGGTCGGCCACACGCACACACACAGTGACACGTACACACACACACACGTACACACACACACGTACACACAGTGACACACACGTACACACACACACACGTACACACAGTGACACACACACACACTCACCTGCAGCAGGCAGTCCCAGTGTGCGCGTGGACGTGGAGGCTCGGCCACACGCACACACACAGTGACACGTACACACACACACACGTACACACAGTGACACACACACACACTCACCTGCAGCAGGCAGTCCCAGTGTGCGCGTGGACGTGGAGGGTCGGCCACACGCACACACAGTGACACGTACACACACACGTACACACAGTGACACACACACACACTCACCTGCAGCAGGCAGTCCCAGTGTGCGCGTGGACGTGGAGGGTCGGCCACGCGGGGCAGACGCTGCGGTGCCCACAACCCGGCCTTGCGCAGGCTCCACACTCGCTCCATCACGCTCGCCTCCTACACACACACACAGTGACACACACAGTGACACACACACACACACAGTGACACACACAGTGACACACACAGTGACACACAGTGACACACACAGTGACACACACACACAGTGACACACACACACACACACAGTGACACACACACACAGTGACACACACACACACACACAGTGACACACACAGTGACACACACACACAGTGACACACACAGTGACACACATAGTGACACACACACACAGTGACACACACAGTGACACACACAGTGACACACACACACAGTGACACACACACACGCACCGCACGCAGACACACACAGACTCACACCACACACACACATGCACACACAGACACGCACACACCACACACACACCACACATACACCGCACACACACACACGCACAGACACACGCACACACGCGCGCACACACGCAGACACACACACAAACCGCACACACACACACGCAGACACCTTAATAGACTGTAGGGTCAAGTGCTGTTAGTAACATTGAGTAGCACCACCTATGTACTCCCCCGTGTCTCCCCCGTGTCTCCCCCGTGTCTCTCCCCCGTGTCTCTCCCCCGTGTCTCCCCCGTGTCTCCCCCGTGTCTCCCCCGTGTCTCTCCCCCGTGTCTCCCCCGTGCCTCCCCCATGTCTCCCCGTGTCTCCCCGTGTCTCTCCGCGTCTCCCCGTGTCTCCCCAGTCCCCGTGTCTCCCCGCACCATCTGTGCCTGTCTTGCAGGGTCATCCTCCATCTTCACGTCTCCCCCGCGTCTCCCCGCGTCTCCCCGTGTCTCCCCGCGTCTCTCCGTGTCTCTCCGCACCATCTGTGCCTGTCTTGCAGGGTCATCCTCCATCTTCACGTCTCCCCCGTGTCTCTCCGTGTCCCCCCCATCTCTCCCCGTGTCTCCCCGCGTCTCCCCGTGTCTCCCAGTGTCTCCCCATCTCTCCCCGTGTCTCCCAGTGTCTCCCAGTGTCTCTCCGTGTCTCCCCATCTCTCCCCGTGTCTCCCAGTGTCCCCCCGTGTCTCTCCGTGTCCCCCCATCTCTCCCCGTGTCTCCGTGTCTCCCCGCGTCTCCCAGTGTCTCCCAGTGTCTCTCCGTGTCTCCCCATCTCTCCCCGTCTCTCCCCGTGTCTCTGTGTCTCCCCGTGTCTCCCAATGTCTCCCCACATCTCCCCGTATCTCCCCGTGTCTCCGTGTCTCCCCGCGTCTCTCCGTGTCTCCCCGCACCATCTGTGCCTGTCTTGCAGGGTCATCCTCCGTCTTCACTTCCTCATCCCCGGACAGCCGAGGAGGCGTTGTCACCGGCGTTGTCACCGTCACCGGCGTTGTCACCGGCGTCGTCACCGGGGTTGTCAACGGGGTTGTCACCGTCAGCGGTCGTGGTGGTGCCGGTAGCAGCGGAGCCGTCAGCTGGGCAGCGTCAGCAGCAGCAGCAGCAGCAGCAGCAGGAGCAGCAGCAGCAGGAGCAGCAGCAGCAGCAGGAGCAGCAGCACCAGGAGCAGCATCAGCAGCAGGAGCAGCAGCAGCAGCAGCTGTAGCAGCAGCAGCAGCAGCTGTAGCAGCAGCAGGAGCAGCAGTAGCAGCAGCTGTAGCAGCAGCAGGAGCAGCAGCAGCAGCAGCTGTAGCAGCAGCTGTAGCAGCAGCAGCAGCAGCTGTAGCAGCAGCAGGAGCAGCAGCAGCAGCAGGAGCAGCAGCAGCTGTAGCAGTAGCAGCAGCAGCAGGAGCAGCAGCAGCAGCTGTAGCAGCAGCAGGAGCAGCAGCAGCAGCTGTAGCAGCAGCAGGAGCAGCAGCAGCAGCAGGAGCAGCAGCAGCTGTAGCAGGAGCAGCAGCAGCAGGAGCAGCAGCAGCAGCAGGAGCAGCAGCAGCTGCAGCAGCAGCAGCAGCAGCAGGAGCAGCAGCAGGAGCAGCAGCAGCAGCAGCTGTAGCAGCAGCAGGAGCAGCAGCAGCAGGAGCAGCAGCAGCAGCAGGAGCAGCAGCAGCAGCAGGAACAGGAGCAGCAGCAGCAGCAGCAGCTGTAGCAGCAGCAGGAGCAGCAGCAGCAGGAACAGCAGCAGCAGCAGCAGGAGCAGCAGCAGCAGCAGGAACAGGAGCAGCAGCAGCAGCAGCTGTAGCAGCAGCAGGAGCAGCAGCAGCAGGAGCAGCAGCAGCTGTAGCAGCAGCAGCAGCAGGAGCAGCAGCAGCAGGAGCAGCAGCAGCAGCTGTAGCAGCAGCAGGAGCAGCAGCAGCAGCAGCAGCAGCAGCAGCAGGAGCAGCAGCAGCTGTAGCAGCAGCGTGGAGGAGGAGGAGGAGCGCTCGGGACGCCACGGCCGCCGCTGCAGGAAGTGCGGGTGGGGGCGGTGGGGTCGGAGGTCGTGGGAGACGGGGGGGGAGTGGTGGGGGGGGCGGTAGTGGGGGAGGAGAGGGGGGGGTCATGGGTTATGGCATCGTAGTGATCATCGTCCTGACCACAGCCTTCATCACCATCATCACCATCACCACCGTCACCACCGTCACCGTCACCACCGTCACCACCGTCACCACCATCATCGTCACCACCACCACCGTCACCACCACCACCACCGTCACCACCACCACCGTCACCACCGTCACCACCGTCACCACCACCACCGTCACCACCACCACCGTCACCACCACCACCGTCACCACCACCACCGTCACCACCGTCACCACCGTCACCACCACCACCGTCACCACCACCACCGTCACCACCACCACCGTCACCACCGTCACCACCGTCACCACCGTCACCACCACCACCGTCACCACCACCACCGTCATCGTCACCACCACCACCGTCATCGTCACCACCGTCACCACCACCACCACCACCACCACCGTCACCACCACCACCGTCATCGTCACCACCGTCACCACCACCACCACCGTCATCGTCACCACCACCACCGTCATCGTCACCACCGTCACCACCACCACCACCACCACCACCGTCACCACCGTCACCACCGTCACCACCACCACCACCACCACCACCGTCACCACCGTCACCACCGTCACCACCGTCACCACCGTCACCACCGTCACCACCACCACCGTCACCACCACCACCGTCACCACCACCACCGTCACCACCGTCACCACCGTCACCACCGTCACCACCGTCATCGTCACCACCGTCACCACCGTCACCACCACCACCGTCACCACCACCACCGTCACCACCACTCACGTTGGCCGCTGCCACCACCAGCGGCAGGCGATGCGGTCGTCACGGCGACCGCCGACGCCGTTGCCATGGGAGACGGCAGCTGGGGCGACGCCGATGACGTCACCGACGACGACGCCATCGCCACTGCTGATGACAGCGACGCTGATGATGATGGTGGTGGTGGTGCTGATGATGGTGGTGGTGGTGGTGCTGATGGTGGTGGTGCTGCTGATGATGGTGCTGGTAGTGTTGCTGATGATGGTGGTGCTGCTGATGCTGGTGGTGCTGATGATGCTGGTGCTGATGGTGGTGGTGCTGATGATGATGGTGGTGGTGCTGCTGCTGCTGATGCTGATGGTGGTGCTGATGATGCTGATGCTGATGGTGGTGCTGATGATGCTGATGGTGGTGCTGCTGCTGCTGCTGCTGATGGTGGTGGTGCTGCTGCTGATGCTGGTGGTGCTGATGATGCTGGTGCTGATGGTGGTGGTGCTGATGATGATGGTGGTGGTGCTGCTGCTGATGCTGGTGCTGATGATGCTGATGATGATGGTGGTGCTGATGATGCTGATGATGATGGTGGTGCTGCTGCTGCTGCTGATGATGGTGGTGGTGCTGCTGCTGATGATGGTGGCGCTGATGATGGTGCTGATGAGGAGGGAGCAGTTGTGGGAGCGGTGCATGGGCAGATCCTCAGCACGGCACCCTCCTGCTACGGGGGAAGGGGGGGGGCAGAGGTCACTCACCGATGACCCACACAGAGGTCACATCCGGCCATCACGGTTGGTTACGTACGGACCCAGAGACACCCAGAGACACCCAGAGACACCCATAGAGACACCCAGAGACACCCAGACCCAGAGACCCACAGAGACACCCAGACCCATAGAGACCCATAGAGACCCACAGAGACACCCAGAGACACCCATAGAGACACCCAGAGACACCCAGACCCATAGAGACCCATAGAGACCCATAGAGACCCATAGAGACCCACAGAGACACCCAGACCCATAGAGACCCACAGAAACACTCAGACCCATAGAGACCCACAGAGACACCCAGACCCATAGAGACCCACAGAGACACCCACAGAGACCCACAGAGACACCCAGACCCATAGAGACCCACAGAGACACCCACAGAGACCCACAAAGACACCCAGACCCATAGAGACCCATAGAGACACCCAGACCCATAGAGACACCCACAGAGACACCCAGACCCATAGAGACCCATAGAGACCCATAGAGACCCACAGAGACACCCAGACCCATAGAGACCCATAGAGACCCACAGAGACACCCAGACCCATAGAGACCCATAGAGACCCACAAAGACACCCAGACCCAGAGAGACCCACAGAGACACCCATCCCATAGAGACCCACAGAGTCCCACAGACCCATAGAGACCCACAGAGACACCCAGACCCATAGAGACCCATAGAGACCCATAGAGACACCCAGACCCATAGAGACACATAGAGACCCATAGAGACACCCACAGACACCCAGACCCACAGAGACCCACAGACCCAGAGACCCATAGAGACCCATAGAGACACCCACAGACACCCAGACCCACAGAGACCCACAGACCCAGAGACCTACAGAGACACCCACAGAGACCCACAGAGACACCCAGACCCATAGAGACCCACAGAGACCCATAGAGACACCCAGACCCATAGAGACCCACAGAGACACCCAGACCCATAGAGACCCATAGAGACACCCACAGACACCCAGACCCACAGACCCATAGAGACCCATAGAGACACCCAGACCCATAGAGACCCATAGAGACACCCAGACCCATAGAGACCCATAGAGACACCCAGACCCATAGAGACCCATAGAGACACCCAGACCCATAGAGACCCATAGAGACACCCAGACCCATAGAGACCCATAGAGAAACCCAGACCCATAGAGACCCACAGAGACACCCAGACCCATAGAGCCCATAGAGACCCAGACCCATAGAGACCCATAGAGACACCCAGATCCAGAGATCCACAGACACCCAGATAGCCACAGAAACCCACAGAGACCCACAGACCCACAGAGACCCACAAAAACCCAGACCCACAGAAACCCACAAGACACCCAGACCCACAGAAACCCACAGACACCCAGACCCACACAGACACCCAGACCCACAGAGACCCACAGACACCCAGACCCACAGAGACCCACAGACACCCAGACCCATAGAGACCCACAGACACCCAGATCCACAGAGACCCACAGACACCCAGACCCACAGAAACCACTCACTCACCACTCACTCACCCTCACCACTCACTCACTCACCACTCACTCACTCACTCACCACTCACTCACCACTCACTCACCACTCACTCACTCACCACTCACCACTCACTCACCACTCACCACCTTCACCTGTCGGGGGAGGTCACCACTCACTCACCACTCACTCACCACTCACTCACTCACCACTCACTCACTCACCACTCACTCACTCACCACTCACCACCTTCAACTGTTGGGGGAGGTCACCACTCACTCACCACTCACTCACTCACCACTCACTCACCACTCACTCACTCACCACTCACCCACCACTCACCACCTTCACCTGTTGGGGGAGGTCACCACTCACTCACCACTTACTCACTCACCACTCACTCACTCACCACTCACTCACCACTCACTCACTCACCACTCACTCACTCACCACTCACTCACCACTCACTCACCACTCACCAACCACTCACCACCTTCACCTGTCGGGGGAGGTCACCACTCACTCACCACTCACTCACTCACTCACCACTCACCCACCACTCACTCACCACTCACTCACCACTCACTCACCACTCACCAACCACTCACCACCTTCACCTGTCGGGGGAGGTCACCACTCACTCACCACTCACTCACTCACCACTCACCCACCACTCACTCACTACTCACCCACCACTCACTCACCACTCACTCACTCACTCACCACTCACTCACTCACCACTCACTCACTCACCACTCACTCACTCACGACTCACCACCTTCACCTGTCGGGGGAAGTCACCACTCACTCACCACTCACTCACCACTCACCCACCACTCACTCACTCACCACTCACTCACCACCACCACTCACTCACCACTCACTCACTCACTCACCACTCACTCACCACTCACTCACTCAACACTCACTCACCACTCACTCACCACTCACTCACTCACCACTCACTCACCCACCACTCACCACTCACCCACCACTCACTCACTCACTCACCACTCACCCACCACTCACTCACTCACCACTCACTCACCACTCACTCACTCACCACTCACGACTCACCCACCACTCACTCACCACTCACTCACTCACTCACCACTCACTCACTCACCACTTACTCACCACTCACTCACTCACCACTCACTCACCACTCACTCACCACTCACTCACGACTCACCACCTTCACCTGTCGGGGGAGGTCACCACTCACTCACCACTCACTCACTCACCACTCACTCACTCACTCACCCACTCACCACTCTCCCACAACTCACTCACTCACCACTCACTCACCCACTCACCACTCACCCACCACTCACCACCTTCACCTGTCGGGGGAGGTCACCACTCACTCACTCACTCACCACTCACTCACTCACTCACCACTCACTCACCCTCACCACTCACTCACCACTCACTCACCACTCACTCACTCACTCACCCACTCACTCTCCCACAACTCACTCACTCACCACTCACTCACCCTCACCACTCACTCCCCCCCAGAGGTCGCAACCGGGTACCCGATACCCGTACCCTACCCGATACCCGTACCCTACCCGATACCCGTACCCTACCTGATACCCGTACCCTACCCGATACCCGGCTATCCGTACCCGGCCGGGTACGGGTACGGGTACCTGTTTGCGACCCTGGTGCGGCCGGGTACGGGTAAGGAATCAAAACCCGTTTGCGACCTCTGCCTCCCCCCTCACACACCATCACCACTCACCCACCCCCCCACTCACCCTCACCACTCACCCCCCCCCTCACCACTCACCCACCCCACTCACCCTCACTCACCCCCCCTCACTCACCCCCCACTCACCCTCACAACACTCACCCATCTCCCCCCCTCACCACCACTCGCTCACCGCTCTCACCCACCCCCCCATCACCACCCACCCCCCACTCACCTTCACCACTCGCTCACCGCTAGCTCACCACACTCACCCATCCCCCCACCACCGCTCACCCCCCACTCACCTTCACCACACTCACCCCCCCTCCCCCCTCCCTCACCGCTCTCACCTCGTCGTTAATCACGCGGCACCTCGACTCGTCCACCAGGACTCCACCACCACCACCACCTCCACCCTGCTGCTGCTGCTGTTGCTTCTCCACCACCACCACCACCGCACCACCACCACCACCACCACCACCACCACCGCCACCACCGCCACCACCGCCACCACCGCCACCACCGCCACCACCGCCGCCACCGCCGCCACCGCCGCCACCACCGCCACCGCCACCACCACCGCCACCGCTCTCCAACTCGTTCTGCTGCAGCGTGGCGACGGCCGAGTGTCCGGGCCTCCGACAGAAGGCCGGGAAGTCCACCATGTTGCCGCCCCCCTTGAGGAAGAGCGCCTCCCGCAGCAGGCGGCGGTGTCGTCCTCCAAGTCCTTCTAGCTGCGCACGCCGCACCTCCGCCACGCTGCAGCGCAGACGCAGCTGCTGCAGCAGCAGCAGGGCACCACCACCACCGCCACCACCACCGCCGCCACCACCACCACCACCACCACCGCCGACATGCTGCGGCAGCAGCTGCCCCCGAGTCAGGCTGCTGAGCTGCGGAGAGACGCCAGCGATACTAACGCCGCTGCCGGGGCGAGCGCCGCCAGCGCCGGGCCCCAAGTGGCGCACCGTCCCTCCGGGGAGAGCCGCGGGCAAACGGCGCTCACGCGGCGCTCCCGGCAAACTCCCGGTAGTGGCTAGCGACGCCCCACCGGGAGAAGCGCTTCCCGCGGTGATCCCAGCGGTGCTTCCGACGCTTCCGATGCTTCCCGCGGTGATCCCAGCGGCGCTTCCGATGCTTCCAGCGGCGCTTCCGATGCTTCCAGCGGCGCTGCCGAGAACCGGAGCCGGCGCTTCTTGCTGCAGCGTGACGGTGCTTGGCAATACAAACTGTTGCTGCTGCTGTTGCTGTTGCTGCTGCTCCTGCTGCTGCTGTTGCTGCTGCTGCTGCTGCAGCTGCTGCTGCTGTTGCTGCTGCAGCTGCTGTTGCTGCTGCTGCAGCTGCTGCTGCTGCAGCTGCTGCTGAACGCCGGGGCTAACGCCGCTGGTGGTGGTGGTGGTGGTGGCGATGGAAGGGGTCGGGTTGGTGGTGGCTGCTGCTGTTGATCGGGAAGCTGCCAACGTGGTGGTGGTGGTGGTGGTGGCGGCAGCCGTGGCGGATGACAGGACCCTCTGGAGGCTGACCGGAGCAGCGGAGAGCTGTGGGGGTACGGAGCACGGCTGTCATGGTTACTGTCGCCAGCGGCGGGATTGATCACCGTAGCGGCCGCAACACTCTGTGTCATCATCGTCGTCGTCATCGTCGACATCGTCATCGTCGTCATCATCGTCATCGTCATTGTCGTCGTCGTCACCATCATCATCACCATCATCATCACCATCATCACCATCATCACCACCATTACCATCATCATCGTCGTCATCACCATCACCATTCACCAACACCATCGCCATTGTCATCATCATCACCGTCATCATCAACACCATCATCATCACCATCGTCATCACCATCGTCGTCATCACCATCGTCGTCATCACCATCACCATTGTCATCATCATCACCATTGTCATCATCACCATCATCATCACCATCATCATCACCATCGTCGTCATCATCATCACCATCATCACCATCATCATCACCATCATCATCACCATCATCATCACCATCATCATCACCATCATCAACACCATCGCCATTGTCATCATCGTCGACGTCATCATCATCGTCATAACCGTCATCGTCATAACCGTCATCATCACCATCATCATCAACACCATCGTCATCACCATCGTCATCATCACCATCAGCAGCAGCATTGATCACCAAGGTAAAAAGATCACGCCGCTCGACTGATTCGGAGTAAGACCTCTGCTGTCAAACCGGAGCCGACTCTGGGTCCAACACACCATCAAGACAAAGATCCCCCGTGTAGCCTTAACAGACTGTAGGGGCAAGTGCTGTTAGCGAGTAGCACCTATGAAGGCCGGCACGGCACACGAGGGGGTGGGTGGCCAGCACCACGCCCGGCCGCCTTTGTCTCCCCAGTGGCGATGTTTACACACCGCACCAGGTACTCATTTGAGGCCGAGTCGACCTAGGGGAGGCCCGGGACCAGTTCAGATAATCGTCACTGTTGGTGTTGGCCGTGAGCGGGAATCGAACCCGGGTTGCCGGGTTCATAACGCAGCGCGCTAACCGCTGCACCACCGCTCCACAGTCATACACACACAGACACACACCTGTACACACACACACCTGTACACACACAGACACACACCTGTACACACACACACCTGTACACACACAGACACACAGACACACACCTGTACACACACAACAACAACAACAACCGCCATTCGCCACTAAGTGGCGGTGACGTCACCACGATGCTTGTGCCAGGCCAAGTGCACCTTGAGGCCACGTGAAGTGTCGAAAGCCCGCTGGCAGGAGGTCACGGGGCAGACCCAGGTGCCACTGGTCGACTGACCGAGATGACCGAGATGACTGGCTGATGCACCACCTGTGCCCCCTACTGTGCCAACTTGCTGTGCTTTAGCCACCCGGCGCTCCGCTCGTTGTTGTGAGCGTCGCTCCTCCGCCCTCCGTTGTTGTTGGAGGGCGACTGCCTCCAACTGCCCAGTAGCGTCCTTCACGAGCCTCCTCCACTGAGGCCGATCTTGACACCGCTGGTACCAGTCATCGGCAAGTCCACTCAGCTCCACGTCCTCCTGTACCACATCACTCCATCTCTTCTCCAGCCCGTGCCGCGCCCGTCTAGCCCCCTCGATCCGGCCGAACAAAAGCTGTTTAGGCATGCGGTGGCTGGGCATGCGGGCTACATGACCCAGCCAACGCAGCCTTGCCTGCCGGAGGAGCTCACTGATGGGACTTTGCCCAGATCTTTCAAGGATTTGTGAGCTCCTCACACAATCCAGCCTGGTTAAACCCAGGATGGATCGTAGGCAGGCCAGCCTAAATGTTTCCAACCGGCGAAGATGCTCCACCAGGGGGGTCCACGTCTCGCAAGCGTAGAGAAGGGAGGGAATGACCGTGGCCGAGAAGACCTGAAGCTTCGTGCGGAGCGACAGACCAGGTAGCTTCCACACAGCGTTACGCAACCGATGAAAAGATATTGCCGCTCGACTGATTCGGAGTGAGACCTCTGCTGATAGACTGGAGCCGGTCATAAGCACACTGCCCAGGTATGGGAAACTCTCCACTCTCTCCACAACTGCCCCATCACCAATTGGGAGTTGTGGGGGTGGAGTGTCCGATGGTACAAAATACCCAGGCAGGTGCTTGGTTTTGGTGGGGCTGATGGTAAGGCCCCACCTCTTAGTGGCACGCTCCAGTCTCAGCAGCAGCGCCTCCAACTCCTCTTCTGAATGAGCAGCTATTACCAAATCATCGGCATACATAACGTGGTTGACCAATAGGGAGCCATCCCTTGATCGCACCCGGGCGTCGATCAGCCTCCCATTATATCTGTACCAAACGGAAATTCCCCCGGTACAGCTATTGAAGGCTTCACGAACTACGCGGTCAAAATAGATGTTAAATAATGTGGGAGCCAGAGGACATCCCTGTCGCACCCCAAGGTGTACAGGGAAAGGCTCCGACTCCCGGCCACGTAGTTTTACCCGGGCCCGCTCACCATCATGAAGGTCCTTAATGATCGTGAGCAGAGGGTCAGGGACTCCGAAAGCACGAAGAACAACCCAGAGTCCAGTCCTACTGATGGTATCATAGGCCTTGACCAGGTCAATAAAGCAGAGATGTAGGTCTTTTTGGAATTCCCTACACCTCTGCTGTAGCAGACGGACAGAAAATATGGCATCTGTGCAGGACCGCCCTTTCCTGAAACCGCATTGGGGCTCCGCAAGCCCCTCCTCAGCGTGCCTAGCAAGGCGATGTTGAATAATCCTTGCCAGGACCTTACCCGGCACACTGAGGAGTGAGATGCCCCTGTAGTTGTTACAGTCTGTGCGGTCCCCCTTCTTAAAGAGGGGGACCACCAGGGCATCCTTCCAGTCCTGCGGAACCCGTCCAGTGGTCCAGACTGTTGTTATGATGTCATATAGGGCAGTCTGTGCACAAACGCCACCCTCCCTCAGCATTTCGCTTGGGAGATCATCTCTGCCCGGTGCCTTCCCTGGTCTCAGACTCCGGATCGCCCTCAGTACTTCCTCAACAGCTGGAACCTCAGCCAGCCACTCACAGGGGGTGACCTCTTCCAATATTTGAGGCACCGCAGCCTCAGCAGGGTTATCCCCACTTTGTGCCATGATGTTTTCCTGGCTGAGAGAATTTCCCTCCCCCAGGACCTCACAGAAATGCTCAGCAAATCTGCAAACCTGTTCCTGGGGGTCGGAGATTGGATCACCGTTTTTTCCTCTAATGATGGTAATAGGTGTGGCGCTGCAGGTTACTTTTTTGATGGAGTTAAATAGTGATTTGTGATCACGGGCCACTGAGGCAGACTCCATCTCCTCAGCAACCCGCGACCACCACCCATCCTTACAACGCCTTACGGCTCTCCGAACTTCCGAGCGAAGGCTGCGGTAAACCTCCTCATTCTCTGACGTGGGATGCTGTAGGCGATGAGAGTGGGCCTGTCGCTTTTTCTCAATTAACCTGAACACCTCCTCTGTCAGCCAGGGTTTCTGGGGAGGTCTGGACCGCGTACCCAAAGCAGCCATTGCAGCTGCATGAGTCACAGTCCTAAACCTCGCCCATTTACCCTCGACATCAGGTGGAGTGGGGGACGATGCCAACCCCAGCTGCAAGCGATGATGAAATTCTCGCTTGCAACTTTCATCAGCTAACTGAGACCAGGCCACTTTTGGTTGGAATGGGATCCTGGGTGTACACCCACCACCGGAGTGGAAGAAAGGCAGGCGCATCTTACAGATGACTAGTCGATGGTCAGAGGACAGATCAGCTCCACGGTAGGTCCTGGTGTCAAGGACATGGGTTCGCATCCGCTGGTCCGTCACTATGTAGTCCAGCAGATGTTCTTGCTTGGACCCGGCATGTATCCATGATGTTGTGTGGATGCGCCGATGCCGGAAGAGCGTGTTGGTAATTACAAGCCCATGGGCTGCACAAAAATCTAGCAGCCTCCTACCGTTATTATTGAGCTGATCTGGCCCATGCCTTCCAATCACTCCAGACCAGGTGTCAGCATCATGACCAACTCGGGCATTGAAGTCACCCAACAAGATGACTCTGTCCCGAGTGGCCACTTTAGCCAGCACCTGTGACAGGAGGTCATAGAAAGCGTCTGACTCATCGGCTTTGCTTGCATCCCTCCACGGATGTTCGTCTTCGGTGGGGGCATAAGTAACCACGACCACCACTCCTCGCCTCTGGTTGATGGGAAGGCGAGCCCAAAGTATCCTGGGGCTTACAGCTTCCCACACCTCACCGCCACGCTCCCACGCCCCCTTCATTCTTTTGTTCAGAAGAAGAGCCACACCCTGTTGTTTGGCAGTCTCCTGCCCCGAGTAGAGGACTGTCCACCCCTCATGGTGGCAGGAGCCAGAACCGGTCCACCGGACCTCCTGAATGCCACAGAGATCCAGGCGGTACCGGTCCAGCTCCCGACAGAGGAGTGGCAGCCTCTCCTCCGCAGTGAGCGTTCGAACATTCCACGTGGCCATCCGCAATGGTTTTTTGTTGTTTCTGGAGGAGCCCCGAGGGTGAAAATTCAATCTCCTGGCTCCGCCAAATGGGGTTTGGCCAGGAGACGTCATAAAAGCCTGACCCCCCGGGGCCTCCGGCACAAGCTTATTTGTTACAGATTTATGTTTAATTCGTGGTTTAGTGGTAATGAATTGAAGGTGGAGGGGTTACCAGCCCCTCACACCCGTCCAGAGCCCCCGTTTAGCCACTGTGGTGGTCACAGACGCCATGAGGGGAGAGGCCAATGGGCATTGGCCCTCCCCCCACAGCACTGCCCACGACAGTGTTGCCCGTCCGGCACCGCGAGGAGGTAGGAGGTTGTTTTGCCGGACAGGTGTGTGTGTACACACACACACACCTGTACACACACACACCTGTACACACAGACACACACCTGTACACACACAGACACACACCTGTACACACACAGACACACACCTGTACACACACAGACACACACCTGTACACACACACACACCTGTACACACACACATGCACACTCGCACACACTCACGCACACTCACGCACACACACACACTCACGCACACACTCACGCACACTCACACACTCACACGCACACTCACACACTCACACGCACACACTCACACTCACGCGCACACACTCACGCGCACACACTCACACTCACGCGCACACTCACGCGCACACACTCACGCACACTCACACACTCACGCGCACACACTCACGCGCACACACTCACGCACACACACTCACACACTCACGCACACACACTCACGCACGCACACACTCACACGCACACACTCACACGCACACACTCACACTCACGCGCACACACTCACGCGCACACACTCACGCACACTCACTCACACACACGCACTCACACACACTCACGCACACTCACACACACTCACACACGCACGCACACACACACTCACTCACGCACACTCACGCGCACACACACAGGCACACACTCACGCACACACACACACTCTCACACACTCACGCACACACACGCACACACGTAACAGCCCTCCACGTAGCGCCAACGTCCGTGCGACGTTGCAGCCGTACCTGTATGAACGACGTGCAGGGCACCTGTTTGAACCTTTGGTGAACAGCGCACGGTGCGGAGACTTGCTGCTGCTGCTGCTGTTGCTGCTGCTGCGGCTGTAAAAGAACTTGCTGCTGCTGCTGCTGCAACATAAACTGCTGCTGCTGCAGCAGCACCTGCTGTTGCATGAGCTGCTGCTGCTGCTGCTGCTTGTGCTGTACCAACTGCTGCTGCGTGCCCTGTTGCGCCACCTGTTTCAATATCTTCTGCGGAAGCTGCTGCTGCCGCTGCTGCGCTACGTGTTGGAGTACCACCTTCTGCTGCTGCTGAGTCATTACCTGCTGCTGCTGCTGCAGGCTCTGCTTCAACACCGCATGCGGCGACAGCAGCTGCTGCTGTTGCTGCTGCTGCATCAGTTTCTGAAGGGCGGGCTTGGCGAGCTGTTGCTGGAGACCCTGTTGTGGCCCCACAACATACTGCTGCACCGTGAAGCTGGTAGGTTGCTGTGGCCGTTGCTGCAGCAGTTGGGGCTGCTGCTGCGGCTGCTGCTGCTGCAATGGAGACTTGCGGGCTGTCTGCTGCTGCTGTATCTGCTGCTGCAGCTGTTGTTGCTGCAGCTGCTGTTGTTGTTGCTGCTGCTGTTGCAGCTGCTGTTGCAACAGCTGCGCAGGCTGCACGACCGCCTGCTGCGGCTGCTGCTGCTGCTTCTGTTGTTGTGCCCCTGCTTGTGTTAGTTCCTTGCTCATGATGGCTTGCTGCTGCTGCTGTTTCACCAGCTGTTGTAGCTGCTGCTGCTGCCTAGCTTGCGGCTGCAGCAGCAGTTGCTGTGGCTGCTGTATTTGCTTAACCTGCTGCAGCTGCTGCTGTTGCTTTGGCTGCTGTTGCAGCGGTGCCTGCTGCTGTATTTCCTTCCCCTGCTGCTGTTGAACTTGCTGCTGCTGCTGCTGTTGCTGCTGCAGCTGTGCCTGCAGCTGTATTTCCTTCACCTGCTGCTGCTTAACTTCCTGCTGTTGCTGCTGTGCCTGCTGTCCTACTTGCAGCTGCTGCTGTTGCTGCTTGACCTGCAGTTGCTGCTGTTGCTGCTGTTGCTCCTGTAACTGCTGCTGCTGCTGTTGCTCCTGTAACTGCTGCTGCTGCTGTTGCTCCTGTAACTGCTGCTGCTGCTGTTGCTCCTGTAACTGCTGCTGCTGTTGTTGTTGTTGTTCCACCGTTCTCTCCTCCTCCTCCACTTCCTCGTCCCCCTTCTCGTCTGCGGCCGGAGCAACGCTGTCACCCCCTCCTCCCGCGCTCATCGTAGCCCTGCACCTCAGAGTTCAAAGTTGCACGCGTTAGGTACGTAGCCCTGTGAGCCATTCGGCTCTTGAATCGGGTGCAACCGCAACAAACAAAAAACAAAGACTCAACACTACCCATAGACTCAACACTGCGCCATAGACTCAACACTACCCATAGACTCAACACTGCCCCATAGACTCAACACTGCCCATAGACTCAGCACTGCACCATAGACTCAGCACTGCACCATAGACTCAGCACTGCACCATAGACTCAGCACTGCACCATAGACTCAGCACTGCCCATAGACTCAGCACTGCACCATAGACTCAACACTGCACCATAGACTCAACACTGCACCATATACTCAACACTGCACCATAGACTCAACACTGCCCGTAGACTCAACACTACCCGTAGACTCAACACTGCACCATAGACTCAACACTGCACCATAGACTCAACACTGCCCATAGACTCAACACTGCCCATAGACTCAACACTACCCGTAGACTCAACACTGCACCATAGACTCAACACTGCACCATAGACTCAACACTGCACCATAGACTCAACACTGCACCATAGACTCAACACTGCACCATAGACTCAACACTGCACCATAGACTCAACACTGCCCCATAGACTCAACACTACCCATAGACTCAACAATACCCATAGACTCAGCACTACCCATAGACTCAACACTACCCATAGACTCAACACTGCCCATAGACTCAACACTGCCCATAGACTCAACACTGCACCATAGACTCAACACTGCACCATAGACTCAACACTGCACCATAGACTCAACACTGCACCATAGACTCAACACTGCACCATAGACTCAACACTGCCCCATAGACTCAACACTACCCATAGACTCAACAATACCCATAGACTCAACACTACCCATAGACTCAACACTACCCATAGACTCAACACTGCCCCATAGACTCAACACTACCCATATACTCAACACTACCCATAGACTCAACACTGCACCATAGACTCAACAATACCCATAGACTCAACACTACCCATAGACTCAACACTACCCATAGACTCAACAATACCCATAGACTCAACACTACCCATAGACTCAACACTGCACCATAGACTCAACACAGCATCAGACTCAACACTTACCACACTCAAAACACTGCACCACAGACAAACAAACACCAGACTCACGCTGCCCGTAGGACACGCGTCACCAAAGCGACCTTTAACAATTTAACTAAAACCGTTCAAGCACTAAACCCGTTCAAAAAGGAAATCCGTTCAAAAATAAAACTGTTAAGAAATAGAAAACTAAACTCGCCGCACACAACCGAGGCCTTGCCGCCGCAGGCTCCGCTAGGAAACTAGTCGAGGCCGCGCGAGGCCTACCCTCTGCACCGTCGTTTAAAGTCGCTCACCTCTCAGTCGGTCTCGAGCCTCATTAAGCTCGCGTCTAATGCTGGTCCCGCACCTCCGCTTACGTGAAGAACGCGGCGAGGATTGGAATCATCTCTTTATTTAAAAATCCCAAAAAATTTCTCTCCGCCCGTTTAAAATCTTCGGCGGGCTCCAAGCTTGTGGACGGGTGAGCTGATCCTGGCGCTGATTGGTCGGCGGCGGGGCACGTGACGAGGATCCCCCGCGCGGATTGGCTGTGTATTCGCTAGTCTGCTTTAGCCGGCGGTGGTGAGAAGAGGCGTTTGTAAATCGTGGAGCGGATAAGGGACTCCCCCCCTCTCCCCCCCCCACCCCCTCCCCCACTCTCCCTAATGTAAACTTTAATGTTATTGATATAATATTATTAAAGTAATTATTACGATTATAATTATGATAATTAAATGGTGTATATTATTACTATAGTAATATTATAGTAAGATGATTCTAATGATTATCATTTAATGTTATATATTAGTTAAATTCGATACCTTATCATAATGACCATATTACGTTATTAATATTATAATGATAATGATGATTATTTAATGCTATATGTTTGTTTCATTCATGCTAATATAACCCGACAACGCTGCCGACTAATTACACTATGTAACACAATTTTTGTTTGCTGGGTAAAAAGTGTTATTTATAAATTGCTTAAAGCCACAACAGAAAAGCAATATTTATCACCTGAAGATGGCCGCTTTTTTTGGGTCCGAAACGTCGTTTTTATTACCAAGATTTTATTTAACTCACTTCGTCTGTCTTCTTGGTTCTTTCGGTAAAGTCACGTAGAAGGGAAATAATAAAATAAGGAAAAAAAACATAATAAAATAAAATTTTATTATACAATACGTAGAAGGGAAATCATAAAATAAAAAAATAAAAATATTATAAAATACGTAGAAGGGAAATAATAAAATAATAAAAATTTAATATTATAAAATACTATTTTATTATAAAATACGTTAGAAGGGAAATAATAAATAAAAAAATTTAAATATTATAAAATACTATTTTATTATAAAATACGTAGAAGGGAAATAATAAAATAATAAAAATAAAACATCAGAAAATACAATTCTCACGACGTTTCGGCCACAACGCAAGCAGCCGTCCTCAGGTGAAGAACAGGTCTGTCGGAAAGACAGCGTCTGAAACTTCGTGAGAATTATTTTATGATGTTTTATTTTTATTGTTTTATTATTTCCCTTAAAAATAAAACATAATAAAATAATATAATATATTAAGATATTTTATTATTATATTATATTTTTACATTATATTATTTCATGATGTTTTATTTTTATTACTTTATTATTTCCCTTCTACGTAATGGCTTTACCGAAAGAACCAAGAAGATGAATCCCTGCAGTCACAAAAGCTTTAAATCAAAATTCCTCAAAAAAGACATCTTGTAGCTCAAATTTTACACACTTCCCAATATGATATCGACTGCAAACTTGGTATCGCTATCTCATACCGATGACCAGACTATATTCTATCATAAAAAAATTCAAAAACTTATATTTTAAAACTATCTACACGCTCCTTTTTAAATCCTTTATATTAAGTTCGCTTGCGTGCTTGCTTGCGTGCTTGCTTGCTTACGACCGTGCAAATCTTTCGGTCGTTTTTAACCCACATCCCGTGATCCAAGCGAGCTGACATTTTCCACACAGACTTGTTGTGCGTGACAATTAATTTTCGTGAAAAATAATTTCCAAAATTTTACACTGTTTAGGGAAAACAAATTAAATATTTAATTACCAATTGCTTAATACTGGCAGACAATCATCTGACCCATAGGTGGCAGCCATCTCAAGCCAGAGGACGAGAGGACTCTAGCCGCCACGCATATAAAGGATTTATAGTGAAAAACTTTGTTTTTACGGGTTTACTTGTTTAAGATCGACTGGAAGACGGTTTACTTTGACGATGTCTGAATGAAGGAGTCGTCTCGTTGGGCCAAAGCGTGCCACCGCGTGCGCTGCCTCCACGCTGTCGTTCTACGAAAACGCGGTAGTGGCATTCCTGACGAACAACGCGTTAGAGAAACATCGCGCGAGAAGAACTGATCTATGATACAGGGTAAAGGCAGAGTCCGCGATCACACGCGAGATGCGTCCGCAGGCTGGACAAAGACTGAGGGCGCGTGGGTAGCGGATCTAGAAGCATCCAGCAGCATCCCAACGCTTCGTGCGACGCTACGTGGTTCTGTTCACTCGATCTCGTTATATCCACTTTGCATCTGCGTTCTATCCAATTCGCATCCGCTTTATATGTAAGTTCCCCAATACATGAATCTCGTTGTATTGAATTCCCGTCACGAAAACAACACGCGTTACAGCAGAACAGAGTGTAACAACGTTCAACACAATTCTCACCCCCCTCCCTTAAAAAGACCACGTTACCCGAACCGTTGTCCCCAGTACGTCAGTAGAGCAGTCAGCCCACCCACCTGCCCCCCCCCCCCCTCTCTCTCTTGCCCGGGCCTTTGTATTATCGTCCGTGGAACACCTGTACCCCCTCCCTCTCTCTCGCCCTCCCTCGTGCTCTGTGACGGGCTCTTGTTGAATTTTTATTTTTTATATAAAAACTATTCAAGACAATACCGATAACCAGATCTCGGTGGTTCAAATCAATTTCAGCAACGCTTTCAAAGACAGGTGACAAATTCCCAGACCGTTCGGATCGAACCCAGACAGCAAACCCCAGGGTGAGGTCAGTAGCAGACTGAGACCCATCTGGACTCGAAGAAACAATGTTTTGTTTTTTTTCGATTTAAAGCTTTCGTGACTGCAGGGATCCATCTTCTTGGTTCTTTCGGTAAAGTCACGTAGAAAGGAAATAATAAAAATAAAACATAATAAAATAAAATAATATTATTTTATTTTGTTTTATTTTTATTATTTTATTGCTTAAAATAATATTATTTTATTTTATTATGTATTATTTTATTGCTTAAAATAATACTATTCTATTTTATTATGTTTTATTTTTATTATTTTATTGCTTCCCTTCTACGTGACTTTACCGAAAGAACCAAAAAAATGTTGTTTTGGGCCAGGCTCAAAATGTACCAGTCGTCCATGCGACCAAGTGTCACATGAGGGCAATGGCAGTGACACAGAGAACCCGCGTGTGGGTGAGGAGCAGGGAGCGTGCCTGTGCCTGTAGGACGCACTCGCATTACTGGCGTCTATAGTTCATCTACTGCATGACACAGAATCATAATTGTTTATTTACCCTTCTATCTGGCAACAAAACTGACACCATTTTACAAGGAGTCATGTTTGCATAGACCACAATACCTGCAGTCGTAATACAAACAAAACACACAACTCTGATCATGTTGTGCACTGTCCTTGAAAACGCCACCGCACCCCCCGTCAAGAGCTTACGTAGTGACGTCACCACGTATCAACTTGAGCTCTTAACGGAGTGACGTCACCAAACACACTCCCTACGCATTTTCTTGGTTCTTTCGGTAAAGTCACGGAGAATGGAAATGAAAAAATAATAAATATAAAACATAATGTTATTATTTTATTATGTGATATTTGTATTTATTTATGGGATTAATAAAATAATAATATTTTAACATAATACAATTATGTTTTATTTTTGTTATTTTAGTAATAAATAATAACAAATTTACATAATACAATTATGTTTTTTTTTATTTCCATTCTACGCGACTTTACCGAAAGAACCAAGATGAATCCCTGCAGTCACGAAAGTTTTAAATCGAAATCCCCCCCCCCCCCCGCATTCTCAAGAGATTCCGTAGTGACGTCACTTCATCACCCCGTCACCCCCCCCCTCAAGCCAATGAGCGAGTCACGTGACGTCACTTCATCACCCGTCACCCCCCCCTCAAGCCAATGAGCGAGTCGCGTGACGTCACTTCATCACCCGTCACCCCCCCCCCTCAAGCCAATGAGCGAGCCGCGTGACGTCACTTCATCACCCCGTCACCCCCCCCTCAAGCCAATGAGCGAGTCACGTGACGTCACTTCATCACCCGTCACCCCCCCCCCTCAAGCCAATGAGCGAGTCACGTGACGTCACTTCATCACCCGTCACCCCCCCCCCTTCAAGCCAATGAGCGAGCCGCGTGACGTCACTTCATCACCCGTCCACCCCCCCCCCCTCAAGCCAATGAGCGAGTCCACGTGACGTCACTTCATCACCGTCACCCCCCCCTCAAGCCAATGAGCGAGCCGCGTGACGTCACTTCATCACCCCGTCACCACCCCCCCCTCAAGCCAATGAGCGAGTCACGTGACGTCACTTCATCACCCGTCACCCCCCCCCCTCAAGCCAATGAGCGAGCCGCGTGACGTCACTTCATCACCCGTCACCCCCCCCCTCAAGCCAATGAGCGAGCCGCGTGACGTCACTTCATCACCCGTCACCCCCCCCCCCCTCAAGCCAATGAGCGAGCCGCGTGACGTCACTTCATCACCGTCACCCCCCCCCTCAAGCCAATGAGCGAGCCGCGTGACGTCACTTCATCACCCGTCACCCCCCCCCTCAAGCCAATGAGCGAGTCACGTGACGTCACTTCATCACCGTCACCCCCCCTCAAGCCAATGAGCGAGCCGCGTGACGTCACTTCATCACCCGTCACCCCCCCCCTCAAGCCAATGAGCGAGCCGCGTGACGTCACTTCATCACCCCGTCACCCCCCCCCCTCAAGCCAATGAGCGAGCCGCGTGACGTCACTTCATCACCCCGTCACCCCCCCCCCTCAAGCCAATGAGCGAGCCGCGTGACGTCACTTCATCACCCGTCACCCCCCCCCCTCAAGCCAATGAGCGAGCCGCGTGACGTCACTTCATCACCCGTCACCCCCCCCCCTCAAGCCAATGAGCGAGCCGCGTGACGTCACTTCATCACCCGTCACCCCCCCCCCCTCAAGCCAATGAGCGAGCCGCGTGACGTCACTTCATCACCCGTCACCCCCCCCCCCTCAAGCCAATGAGCGAGCCGCGTGACGTCACTTCATCACCCGTCACCCCCCCCCCCTCAAGCCAATGAGCGAGTCCGCTTGACGTCACTTCATCACCCGTCACCCCCCCCCCCTCAAGCCAATGAGCGAGCCGCGTGACGTCACTTCATCACCCGTCACCCCCCCCCCCTCAAGCCAATGAGCGAGCCGCGTGACGTCACTTCATCACCCCGTCACCCCCCCCCCCTCAAGCCAATGAGCGAGCCGCGTGACGTCACTTCATCACCCCGTCACCCCCCCCCCTCAAGCCAATGAGCGAGCCGCGTGACGTCACTTCATCACCCGTCACCCCCCCCCCCTCAAGCCAATGAGCGAGCCGCGTGACGTCACTTCATCACCCCGTCACCCCCCCCCCCCCTCAAGCCAATGAGCGAGCCGCGTGACGTCACTTCATCACCCCGTCACCCCCCCCCCCTCAGCCAATGAGCGAGCCGCGTGACGTCACTTCATCACCCGTCACCCCCCCCCCCCTCAAGCCAATGAGCGAGCCGCGTGACGTCACTTCCATCACCCGTCACCCCCCCCCTCAAGCCAATGAGCGAGCCGCGTGACGTCACTTCATCACCCGTCACCCCCCCCCCCCCCCCCCCCTCAAGCCAATGAGCGAGCCGCGTGACGTCACTTCATCACCCGTCACCCCCCCCCCCCTCAAGCCAATGAGCGAGCCGCGTGACGTCACTTCATCACCCGTCACCCCCCCCCCCCTCAAGCCAATGAGCGAGCCGCGTGACGTCACTTCATCACCCGTCACCCCCCCCCCCTCAAGCCAATGAGCGAGCCGCGTGACGTCACTTCATCACCCGTCACCCCCCCCCCCCTCAAGCCAATGAGCGAGCCGCGTGACGTCACTTCATCACCCGTCACCCCCCCCCCCCCTCAAGCCAATGAGCGAGCCGCGTGACGTCACTTCATCACCCGTCACCCCCCCCCCCTCAAGCCAATGAGCGAGCCGCGTGACGTCACTTCATCACCCGTCACCCCCCCCCCCTCAAGCCAATGAGCGAGCCGCGTGACGTCACTTCATCACCCGTCACCCCCCCCCCCCTCAAGCCAATGAGCGAGCCGCGTGACGTCACTTCATCACCCGTCACCCCCCCCCCCCTCAAGCCAATGAGCGAGCCGCGTGACGTCACTTCATCACCCGTCACCCCCCCCCCCCTCAAGCCAATGAGCGAGCCGCGTGACGTCACTTCATCACCCGTCACCCCCCCCCCCCTCAAGCCAATGAGCGAGCCGCGTGACGTCACTTCATCACCCGTCACCCCCCCCCCCCTCAAGCCAATGAGCGAGCCGCGTGACGTCACTTCATCACCCGTCACCCCCCCCCCCCTCAAGCCAATGAGCGAGCCGCGTGACGTCACTTCATCACCCGTCACCCCCCCCCCCCCTCAAGCCAATGAGCGAGCCGCGTGACGTCACTTCATCACCCGTCACCCCCCCCCCCTCAAGCCAATGAGCGAGCCGCGTGACGTCACTTCATCACCCGTCACCCCCCCCCCCTCAAGCCAATGAGCGAGCCGCGTGACGTCACTTCATCACCCGTCACCCCCCCCCCCTCAAGCCAATGAGCGAGCCGCGTGACGTCACTTCATCACCCGTCACCCCCCCCCTCAAGCCAATGAGCGAGCCGCGTGACGTCACTTCATCACCCCGTCACCCCCCCCCCCTCAAGCCAATGAGCGAGCCGCGTGACGTCACTTCATCACCCCGTCACCCCCCCCCCCCTCAAGCCAATGAGCGAGCCGCGTGACGTCACTTCATCACCCGTCACCCCCCCCCCCTCAAGCCAATGAGCGAGCCGCGTGACGTCACTTCATCACCCGTCACCCCCCCCCCCTCAAGCCAATGAGCGAGCCGCGTGACGTCACTTCATCACCCGTCACCCCCCCCCCCTCAAGCCAATGAGCGAGCCGCGTGACGTCACTTCATCACCCGTCACCCCCCCCCCCCTCAAGCCAATGAGCGAGCCGCGTGACGTCACTTCATCACCCGTCACCCCCCCCCCCTCAAGCCAATGAGCGAGCCGCGTGACGTCACTTCATCACCCGTCACCCCCCCCCCCCCTCAAGCCAATGAGCGAGCCGCGTGACGTCACTTCATCACCCGTCACCCCCCCCCCCCCTCAAGCCAATGAGCGAGCCGCGTGACGTCACTTCATCACCCGTCACCCCCCCCCCCTCAAGCAATGAGCGAGCCGCGTGACGTCACTTCATCACCCGTTCACCCCCCCCCCCTCAAGCCAATGAGCGAGCCGCGTGACGTCACTTCATCACCCGTCACCCCCCCCCCCCTCAAGCCAATGAGCGAGCCGCGTGACGTCACTCATCACCCGTCACCCCCCCCCCTCAAGCCAATGAGCGAGCCGCGTGACGTCACTTCATCACCCGTCACCCCCCCCCCCCTCAAGCCAATGAGCGAGCCGCGTGACGTCACTTCATCACCCGTCACCCCCCCCCCCTCAAGCCAATGAGCGAGCCGCGTGACGTCACTTCATCACCCGTCACCCCCCCCCCTCAAGCCAATGAGCGAGCCGCGTGACGTCACTTCATCACCCGTCACCCCCCCCCCCTCAAGCCAATGAGCGAGCCGCGTGACGTCACTTCATCACCCGTCACCCCCCCC